ATTAATCGACACATCTATTTCGCTTTTTTTTTATATATAAAATAAAATATATAAAAAGTGGGGGTTTTTCAAGACTTCATTTAATCTATATAATAAAGACACTGTCCTGACATGAGTCTGGTTAACAGAGAAAATTAACCAGCTTCAGATATCAAACTTACAGTGTCCGCTGAAACATTGCAGTGTGCCATGTAGCATGGTTAGCTAACACGCTGTGTTCGAACTGCCCGCTTACTCACCGCTTCTCTCACACCTGCCGCATCGTAACCTTGGTCGAAATATGGCAGAGCATCTACAAACACTTCTCCAGCTACTGAAGCCGTCCCGGCCATTTTTAATCAGTCTATATATCGTTCACTTTGTTGAACTGTCTCGCTTTCTGCTAAATAAACTCAAAACCCAAGTGTCCCCTTTCTTCTTCTTTAATTTCGCGTCTTCTTCGAATTGGTGCTTTAGCGCCACCGCATGGTATGGAGTGTTTATCTTAATGTTTCTTCTTTGAAGCGTGGACAAAACGTATGGAGCATAGCTTACATCGAAATAAAGCATGCCATGAATTCATAGTTAAATGTGCAACATTAATTACTAAATTACGTTTTCAATGTCCTCTTTTTATTTAGTCATTAACAAAGTAATTTATTATTTGATCAATCAATAGGGATAAAAAATACATATTTCTACAAACTATTAATCTATTATGAAATATCTCAACCTGAAAAGCGGTTTACAGAAAAATATATGAAATGCTTGTTAAAACATAATTTAAAAAGTAGCCTGAAATTAAAAATTTAACAACAGATTTTCAAAATAGTTGAAAAAAATACGATTTAATAAGAGAAATGGGTAAATGGAGTTAAAAACTGAAAGGCAAACTTTTCTGACATTTAAAATGATGATACCATCCCTCCTTTTTAATTCCATTTCCTTTCCTTAGCTATTGGATTCTCCGTTTTGGAAACCCTGACCTCCTCAGCAGTATGTTGAGTCTAAACAATAAATCAATGATCTTATTATTACAGGATTATCTATTTGATTAGCTTCTCCGTGTGGCCTTTCCATGACTCTTTTGGTCTTTGTGAATAAAACAAAGCAAATTAGTCATGGTACAATGTCACATCCCAGTTGTGCAATCCTAACATGACCCTACACAACTTGTTAGTGCTCATATTATTTTACCAAACCTTTGATGCCTCATCGGAGAGGGTAGTCCAATAGCTAATGGGAAACGAGAATGAATCGAAAAGGGAAACAAGCATTATTTTAGATTTCAGAAAAGTTTGGATTCCTAATTTAATTTAGGAATCCATTTATTTATGTCTAATTTTATTTCGTAAGAGATTTTGAAAATCTGTTTTTAACATTTTAATTTGGAAATACTCTCTTAAATTAGTTTTTTATTGAGTGTTTCCTGTTTTTTCTGTAAATTGCTTTTCATTTAGAAAGATTTAACTCCTCTTTTTATTGAGCATTGAATTATCAAATAATTAATTGTTTTATTGATGTCTTAATAAATAGAATAAATTAAAAATGAATTTGAAAATTCATTTACTGATGAATATTTTATTGGGCAGTTAATTATTAATTCATGAAATGCTATAATGCTGTGTGTGTGACCCTCCTGGTGCTCTATGAAATAGTCCCAATGTTCTATTAGCCGAATTAGCTTGTCTAAGATTCTGACTTACCATTACTGATTTCTTTGGTACTTGAGTGTAAAATATCTATCAGATGCCTCATATTTCTGAAAGTGAGGCAACATTCTCTACTGTTTCTTGTCCATGTGGGTCACATCTATTTGTAAAGTTTAACACATTTTGAATAATATACTATTTAGTTCAGTATGTCCAAATCTGTAAATTAGTCTATTATTTCTTCTGTATTTTTAATCATAGCTTTCCTTATATCACTCATGTTCCCTTAAATTTGGTAAACTGTTCTTCTACCCCAGTGCGGTTTCTTAACACTGAATTTAAAATGTATTTGTTTGATCCAAAGGGCCCTATCATCCACCAAAGCAGAAACTGCATCCCATTCCCTTTTAAATTATTGAGACAAATAATAGAGATTCCTTGCGATGTTTAATTTTCAAAAAACAATTTCTTCCATACTTTTTGCTTATTCAGACTTGCTTAAGTCTTCTGCTTAAAAAAAAGCCATCCAGTCTTTGATACCTAACAGGGCTTAATCATTAATGTTTGGTTATATCATTCTTTCTGTATCACACTATTGGCCAGAGTTTAACTATAAATGTTTCTATTATCATAAAAAATGATGCATTTATTGCCCCTAAGCCCTTTAAAACCCTTCATAAAACCATACTTTCTTAAAACGCCTGTTTCCTCCTTCTCACATGAGCAGACCCCACCTTGTTATGGGTAATATAAAGCCTTTGAAGTAAATAATTTACTTTAAAGCTTAGGTGACAAAAGTAAGGAGCTAAATAACTCTGTTCTTTTAGGCAATTTCATCTGACTGAGGATTTATGAAATCATGATTTTTTTTATTAAATCTCGAGATGGAATCTAAGCGAGCCCCATTAGTACTCCAGTGCGGATGGTGTCTTCATTTGGGATTCACATCATAAATAATAGTACTGCAGAATTTCTCAGTGGTACACGTGGATTGTTTAAATGTGTATTGTTCTTTAAGCTACAACAGTCATACAGACTCATAAACTGGACACAGTGAGGGAACTGGATGAGTGGTGGAGAAGATGGTGGAGACAGAAGGTCATTTAATGAAGATAGGTATAAATCTGTGGTGTGCTATTAGCCTGCTAATGCAGATACTCCAGCTCCACGTCAAATGTGCTTTTACTGACATTAATGACTCTGCAAGATAAAGGCAGATTATTTATGATTTTGGAGATGAACTTTGTGGTCAATATTAAAGTCAGGTCACAGAAAGATAAGACAATAAGACAACAAATGAACCAAGTTACTTGGTTTTCAAAACAAAGCTATGTTAATCAAATTTTAATAAGAAGAATATTACAACACACTGCTAAGTTAAATGTTACGTCATGGTGTCAAGTGTTAAGAGGAAGTTCAAAACTAACAACAAATAAAACAAATTTTAAAAAGACAGAAAAACACACAGACATGCAAGGAAGATAACAAGGAATAGGTAGACACAATTAGGCCCTGACAAATAATAACAAAGGTGGGTTAAGAACAAAGACAGGAAGAGAAACACAAGATGAGATACAAATGCAATGACTTCCACAATAAGACAGGACGTAACTGAAAAGAGAGACAGAACTCACTCACACTGACAAACAGGAAGGCACAGGCAGGGAAGCACAAGGAAAAGGCAAACATCCAGAAACACAGAAACCCAGAACATGGCAGAATGTCATGTTCCTGTCTTGTATGCAGATATTCATCTAGTTGATGCTCAAGTTGATCAGTAAGATCCTCCAGTCAGGATATTGTCCTAACATCTGGTGTAAAGGTCTCATTTCACACATTCATAGGAGAGGAGACAAATCAGACCCCTACAGCCTGAGCATCAGTGTCAGTGATTGCTGAATCATTCAGCTGTATTCCAACAGTCAAATAAAATGTATACATATTATACATATATATTTATTTATGCAAATTCACTCTTTCTATCACTAAGATGCCACATCCAGATGAATAAAATATAAAATATATATATAAAAATAAAAACTTTTAGGGAACTATTCTCACTGGATGTTAAAACTCATAATGTTTTCTCTTACATTTAGTCTTTAGTAAATTCTACAGAGCAAGGACTGCTATAAAAGCTGGACATAATTAAAAAAAAGAAAGAAAGAATATGATTTGGCTGAATATTGTTTTACTACTATGGATAAAAAATGAAAAAGACAGATTCTGGCCAAGTACAGATTGAACTAGAAATAAAAGATCCTGGCAACCAATGGATAAAATGTTGGAATAAAATGCTGAGAAAGAGATTTTCTCCCTCCTATAATATAAAACATTCAGTAACACAAGAAACATTTCACTCTGGGCACTGGACTCAGTTGGTTTTGATTTAGTTAAAAACAAACAAACTCTAAAAATCTGGAAAAAAACAAACCAACCCGGTCTACACAAGGAGGATCACATGCATTCAGTGTCTAAATCCACACACATAAGCATGCACACAGACACTTTAAATACTATACATCATTACACTGTTAATTTCAACATTAGTACTATTCAGATAATTATTATAGATAATATCGATCATTTAAAATTTGATGCTAATAAAATGTATTTGAATTCAATCTAACTGGGCTGCACTGAAGTTAGAGAAACAAGAAGATGCAAAGTGTTGGTAAAGGAGGTGGAGTTACCCACAAGTCTCAAATCCATACATTCTTGTGGACTCGTGCACCACGCCACACTACTGTTGACGTCACTATTGCAAACGCCGGCAAGGCACCGTTTATCCCCGTGCTGACTCACGTTGTGCTGATGATTAGCAGCTGTAGGAGTAAGAGGTATCCTCAAACTGTGCCGATATATATATATATACTTAAAAATATATATATATATATATAATATAAAAAATATTTTATATATATACATACATACATACATATATATATATATATATACACATATATTTTAAGTGAAATTTAAATATGTCAAAGGCTTTAATTTAATACCACATAAAAACTCCTGACAACAGTTAAGCCCAGATGTAAACCAGATGTGCAAATTACAAACAACAGCCCATTCTCCTTCTCTTTCCTTCTCTATCCCTAAGATATGGGACACAAGTAATATATTGTGATACGCAGAAACTGTTAGCAAAGTTTGTGGCTCAAAGTTTAATCGGCTGTCAACAAACTTACATTTGTTTGTTAATTTACTTTATAGTATTTCTCTACTAACGCCTTTTTATTTCTTTCGGAAAGTGTTTCAGCTCATGCACAGAGCCCAGATTGCATCACGTGTGCAGAAAATCAAAGGGGCGTCCACGTCATGACGTCCACACGTACTCCTGATTCGAGAAGTTACGCAGGATGTGCAGCGGTTCTAAGAGGAAGGAAGATGGCGGATAACAAAGGCGAAGAGGATATGGAAACGTCTGCTAAGTCGGACTCCGTGCCTTCACTTCAAGATACCGAGCCGCCAGAGACGAAAACCGATAATGCAGTAATAGTCATAGAAACAAATACAAAGGGGGATGAAGAAGGCGAGCCCCGTGAGAATGCAAACGAGGCTCCTACACCCAGCAGTGAAGGTGGAGACGTTAGCAGTAGCAGCGGCAGCAGCGGGGCTGCTGGTGCGGGAGGAGAAACCAACGGTAGCGCTAGCCCGGCTGGGACCAGTAGCACTAATGCAGAGCCGACTGCGGCTGAAGCTGTCGGGGATGCTCCAGTCGGTGGACTCGCCGCTAAAATGTCCCCCCCTCCTGCGGCTTCTGCGGCCACGCCGGTATCCACTCCTATTAATTTACTGGATACGTGCGCAGTGTGTAAACAAAGTCTTCAAAGCCGAGACTGTGAACCAAAACTTCTGCCTTGTCTGCATTCCTTTTGCCTGAAATGTATCCCGCAACCAGACAGACAGATAAGCGTACAGGTTCCTGGACCGCACGGACAAACGGACACGCACATAGGTGAGTTTATCCCCAAGTAAGCAGGCCTGGCCGCTCTTTGGGTCGCTCATCTGTTCTCAGTTAACGCTGTTCATCGGAAGTTTGGGATTCAGCACCTAGAAGGGTAAACGATCGCGATTGAGGTGGACCATGTGGCACCTGTTTGCTTATTTTGACTCTTGACCTTTCAAAACGACGAGCTTGTTGTTGGGTAGGTAGCCAGTCTGTCCGTGGCGAGAATCTTAAGTGCCACGAATTAATAACGTCCACCTTAACAAACATGGAAAACAGCAGTAAGCAACACGAATTAAAACCGCTTGAATTATAATTATAATTATATATCCTTTCTATACTTATCAGTAGACAGCAGCTAAAACATAGAATGGATGCTGATCACAATACTGTGGGCTGCTGCTTCTCATGCACCACTGCATACTCTGTGCATAAGAAGCATAACAGGAATGACTACTCTACCGTGGTGTCTTCATATGTCCGTGTCTGTGTCCGTGTCTGTGTCCGTGTCTGTGTCCGCATCCGAGTATTATCGAGGCTTCGGTTACAACTTGTAACAAAGAAGCATTCATCTGCAGAGAGATGGAGTTGAAAATGTTTATACACATGTATTCTGATTTCTAGAAACCCAAATGTTTGTCGTGTGTACAGCACTTCATAGACATGTGAGTGCTAAGTTGTCATTGAAATGCAACTGCAGGGACTGCTATAGAGTGTGGAATTTATCTTTTCATGTATTTAGCTCTCTTGATAATGATATTTTCCCTTATCTTCCCTAATTAGCTCATTTAGAATGTGATGTAAAAATCATAATTCCAAGAGAAGGTCTTGTAAATGCGGTGCAACATAATGATGCAGTGAAGGTGTTTCTTGCTACCTTTGTAGCTGTAAGAGTGGACACATCCTAAAGTCTGACTAATGTAGGCTCCTGGGTTCTGATAAATTTTTGGTAAGCCTGATTGTCAGATGCTTGGCAAGAGCACCCCAGGGCTGATCGTTTCAGCTGGTGTACCAAAAGCTTTATCCTGAGAGCAGAGTTAGACTTTTGATCAAAACTGCAGCTGTGCCATGTCTGCTTAGTGAAAACAGGAAAGCAGACCATGCTTTGTGTTGGTAGACTCTGGCTAATGATACCTTGATGGACAAGACTCGCTTTTCATCCGCTGGTTTTTATCCAAAATCACGAATCATCATGTGAGGATGGCAGTGAAATAATCTTCAGACACAGTTTCCTTGGTGCAAAAATGTTATAGCTTGTCAAGGGCTCTGGGTTGGCTGGTCTTCCCAGACTAACACTGTAACAACTCACCATATGCTGGTATACAGCTGTAAACATGCTACTACAGCAAACTGTATACAGGCTGTCAAGAATTTAACAACTGTGTCTTTTCTGTCATTGTATAACATTTTGTGGGATGGATTAACTGGTAACCTATTGGATTGGACTGATTTTTATATTAATTTGAAGGTCATCCATGAGTTACTCTAATTACCGGGGTTTACTGTGCAACAAAATACACTGTGTGGGAAAAAAACTATTGAGCCACCCACAGTGCTGCTCAGCCATGGAATCCCTTGCTGTGAAGCTCCAGTGCAGAGTTTTTGTACTGATATTAATGCCTGACAAGGTTTAAAAGTCTGCCATTTCAAATCTTTACGAGTAGCGATTTCTTTGCACCGCAGCACTGTATGACCCTGCTCTGTAACTTTACAGTCTTCCCCTTCCCCTTTGTGGTTAAGTTAACGTTGTTCCTAAAACCTGCCACTCTGCAATAATATCATTTACAGCTGATTGTGGAATGTCTAGGAGGGAATAAATGTCACAAACTGACCTGTTGCAGTCGTAGTATCAACACACAGTACCACACTTTAACTCACTGTGATGTTTTTAATGACCCATTCTTTTACAAATGCTTGTAAAGCCAGACTGCTTGGCTAGGTCCTTGAGTTTACACATACATGGCAATGGGATTGAAACACCTAAATTCAAACCTAAGGCGACAGTGTTGTCCAATACTTTTGTCCATAGAGTGTATAACTAAACCAATCACTTTCCTGTCAGTCTATGCTAGACAACTGTTGTATTTCTTGCTTCATCCAAAAGACTTTACAAGTTATACTCATATAATTCTTTATTTATCTTTAGCTATGTGAGCACAGTTTTATCTCTTATAATACCTGTCACCAAAGTCTTTTTTTTTCTTGAGTCATTTTTAATATCACATTGTTTAAGTTCTGTTTTTTGGAGTGACCCTAATATTGCCTTCTGTATCACATGGCTTCTCACTCATCAGGGAATATACTGTTGTTCAGTGGGACTTCTATATTTTCAGTCCTGAATGTTCCTTTTGTGACTCTAGCTGCCACACTCAGTCATACCTGGGCTGGTGTTTAGGAAAACAAAGCAGGGTTGCTTCCCCTTGTTAAAATATGGTGCCTTTTAGACCTTGTGTTAAGAAAAGGTTTTATAGCATGTGGAGGAAGTGTCGTCCCCCCACCCCCCCACCCCCACACAAATTTCTGTGTCTGTGCATTGGAGGAACTAGGAATGGTTACAGTTCTTAGAACCCTTTTTGTTAGGGGGAGGCCCTATTTTAGCTCCTTCTACTGTCTTTCTGCTGTCCGGAACAGGAGGAACTATTGAGAGATTTAAGTGCATGTTCAGTGGTGCAGTATAGGCATGTCTCAGAGTGACGACTGTCACTTTAAGAGGGGCATCCTGTAAAAAGTTTCTTAGTAACCAGATTTTAATCATTGATTCATGTGATATTAATATATAAAACATTACAAATGTCCCCCCAGCCCCAGTTACAGCACTGAGCCAGGTTCAGTGATGGATAATGAACTCTCTGCTCTCAGTGGTTGCAGGGAAAATTCTTACTAACTACCAAATATTTTATAAATTTTGAGGTTATTACATTGCATCAAAACAGTTTTTTAAAGAGATCAAAGCTGAAGAGGGTTTTTTGTTGTTGTAGTGTTTTTTTTTTTTTTTAACTTTTTTATTGATTTTTAGTTTCAGGTTTTGTTTTTTTGTTCCATTTGGTTCAGTTAATATCCAGATGATTTCAGTTTTGCTCTTAATGTTTAAAATTGTCTACTATAAGCTAGTATTTGTTTTTTTATTTTTGTTTATTATCCCACAAAGAAAAGAATTATGTGATTGGTTCTATTTGTTCATCTGTGAGTCCGTCAAGAATATAGTTTTTCTCTTTTTTTCACTCACTTTCAAATTTTGTCTGATGGCAGATACCAACGTGAGGTTATTTAAAGTGGGTCAAGATCACACCAAATGTGAAAATTGGTTAAATGTCTTACCCAGTGTTCTTGATGGATCGCCTTCAAACTTCACAACAATATACTAAGCCTTGGGGGACATGAGTATCTAGGTTAGCTAAGGATTTGACCTTAATTGTCTGCGCAGAAGGTCAAAGTTGAACTTGAAAGAAAATTTCAAGAAACCATATTAAGTAATCAGCAAACTATCTCATATGAAAGGTCATGCAGAATCTGTATGAATCAGTTGTTGTCTATTGTTATCACAGTGATTTGTTAAGATCTGCACTTTTTGTGCGCAGGGTTACCCATAGGGTAACCCATAGGGTTACCCATATTCATGAATATGACTATTTTTACATTTAGCAGGCTGACATCAGTATATTGTAATAAAAGCGTGCTTTTATAAAAACGTCATAAAACATCAAAGTTTTAATTTAGGCATTGCCTTTTAGGGGTAGTTATGCTGTCCAAACGCTCTTGTATGTATGTAGAGGTTACAGTATATGCAGGGGGTAGAGATTTTAAAAGTTCAGAATCGGTGGTACAAGATATTGTTAAACGACAAAACTTGCTTAAAACAGATCACCTTGTTTTTGATCACCTTGTTTAACTGTAGCTGTAGTAAATTACACATACAGGAAGAAAACAGATGCTTCCAGTCTGATACAGTTAACCTAAACATAAAGTTTCAAAATCTATTATGAATTTGCTATTATAATAACAATAGTAATAAGTAGGGCTGCACGATTAATCGTTAGAAAATCGCGATCTCAATTCATACTTATGTGCGATCTCATTTCCAAATGACAAC